CGCGCCAGCCGCCACTTCTCCTGTGGCTCCAGCATCAGCCGCTGCTGTTGCCTCTGTGGTTTCTGTTTCCACAGCTGCTGCTGCTCCTGTGGTTCCAGCGTCTGCCGCCGCTCCTTCTGAGGTCAACGTGTCAGCTGCTGCCGCTCCTGTGGTTCCTGCGTCAACCGCCAACACTGTCACTCCTTCTGAGGTCAATGCATCATCTGATGCTGCTCCTGTGTTTCCTGCATTCGTTGCCGCTCCTTCTGAGGTCAATGCATCAGCTGCTGTCGCTCCTGTGGTTCCTGAGATCACCACGTCAGTCACTGTTTCTCCTTCTCTGGTTTCTACTTCCGCCGCTACTGCCGCTCCCATGGTTACCACGTCAGTCGCTGCTACTCTTCCACTGGTTCCTGCTCCCGCCACTGCTGCCATTCCTGAGGTCACTGCATCAGCTGCTGCTACTTTTCCGCTGGTAACTGCTCCCACCGCTGCTGCTACTCCTCTTGTGGTCACCGTGTCAGCCTCCCCTTCTCCTTTGACTCTTGCGCCTGCCGCTCCTACGTCAACTGCAGCTGCCGCTCTTGTGGTCACCGCGTTGTCTGTCTGTCCTGCTCCTCACCACAGTAGAAGAAGAGGTCGACGTGGTTCTCCAGCCTTCTCCCTACATAAGTCGGACTACTCTGCCCCTGAGGTCCCCAGCGCTGATCCGGCTCTCCTGGTCGAGAGGCACCTCCGGCTACCCCGGACTCGTTGGTTTCAGACCCTTCACCAGAATCCTCGGCTGCAGACCCCTCGCCAGACTCATCAGCTGCTGACCCTGCAGCTGCAGAACCTGTTTCCGACCCCGAAGCTGCTGAACCTGGCTCTGTCCCCACCGCTGCTACTGAACCTGTCCCCGCAGCTGATGAACCTGTCTCTGTCTCCACAGCTGTCGACATCCCTCCTGTCCCCTCAGCTGCCGATGTCCCGTCCAGTCCAGCAACTGTTAAGCCCACCATTACTGGTCCCATTCCATCCTTCCCCGAACTCTGGTCCCACTATGAACGGTCCTTGAGACGCCCGCCCGAACTTGACCTGTGGTATGGATGGTCTCAGGGACGTTCACCTGAACTCCTGTTTTTCATGTACACAGGGCTGCACCTAGAATGTTTGTTTTGGTGCCCTCTGACATTTAGTTTTCCCCCCACTGCCCACCCAAGTTGGGTTGGTGTTTTTGAACGTCAGGAGACATTTAGAAGAGAGGGGGATACTGTAAGGCTCTGCCCCAGTCCTGTTTTTGTTCACTAGTTAATGACTCTGCTCTAATTCTGTTTCTGTGCATTAGTTTATGACTCCCTGCTCCAGTTCTGTTCTGTACACATAGTTTGACTCCCCGTTTCAGTTCTGTTCCTGTGCACATAGTTTATTATTCTTTGTTCCAGTTCTGTTTCTGTGCACTTAATTAATGAATCTATGCCCCAGTCCTGTTAATGACTCTCCAGGTGCTACGTATTGGTTTAATAGTGGCTCACCTTTATATTCTGAGCTCTCCTGACTCTCAGGCAGGGGAGCATTATGTGTCATGACTACACCTTCACGGTTGGCTCCTAGCGTCCTAGTACTTTTGGTTATTCCTCGAGTCGTAAGTAATATGGCTGCCCTGTCAGCACCTCATGTTTGTTACCGCCTTTTGAATAGTATTGCTGCCCTGTCAACACTTTGTTTTTCCCTTTTTGTATATTAAACTCTTTTTGACTTCAGTGGAGTTCTGTTTGTATTTTGGTCTAAGCCAACACCCGATCGTGACATAATCTGCATAGAACTCTAATTAAACCTCAACACGTTTGCATGACTCGGTCGTAGTTTGTTTCTGCTTTCCTAACTGAACAACATTTCTGTTACTATGTGGATATGTATGCCGAACATAGACAGACTGTTTATTATGTTTCTGATACTAAGGCTGCAAATGTGTCAGTCTGTCCATCACCTCCATCCATCCATCCATGCATCCATCCATCCGTCCATCCATTATCTTTACCCGTTTATTCCATTTTGGGCCACGGGGGTCACTGGTGTCCATAACCAGCAATCGCTGTGCGAGGGGCGGGGTACACCCAGGATGGGTCGCAAGTCCATCACAGGGCCACATAGAGACAAACGAGACAAACAACCATTCACTCTCTCACTCACACCTAGGGACAATTTAGAGTTACCAATCAGCCTAACATGCATGTTTTTGGTATGTGGGAGGAAACCGGAGCACCCGGAGAAAACCCACGCATGCAAGGAGAGAACATGCAAACTCCACCCAGAAAGGCCCCTGGACCGGGGTTTGAACCAGGGACATGCTCGCTGAGAGGCAGCAGCTCTACCAGTTGCGCCACCGTGCTGCCCCTGTCCATGACCTCGGGTCAGTCAAATATTTACTCAACTTTTGACATACTGATACCATCAGAAGCCTCAGGACACTGACACCTTTTTTAGGATCCCTCTTTAGCTACATATTTACTGTATATGACATTTACAACAAAACTATTTAAAACTAATCAGACTGAAGAATTGTGGGCTTCCTTTTAGTTCCTTCTAGAATTTCAGCTTAGCAGTTCTGCAGCTCGTACAAATCCAGAAACAACGAACTGAAAAAAAATCTGATTCGGTTCAACTTTAAACTTTCTCAAAGTCCAGCCTAAATTAAACATAAAGATAAGCTTATCAGTTCTCTGAGGTATGTTTAATCTGCAGGATAGATCAATTTTTCAGTTGTTTTCTCTTGAGGACATGAACCTATATTTACCTTGTATTTTTTTTAATATCTTGTGTGATTCTGAGTCAGTGTGAAGGTCTGGTACTCGCTGTGGGAACTTTAAATCGTCTCGTTTACGAGTTTAACCGTAAGGTGGAGGCGATTGAGAATCGCAGACCAACTGCGGCTTCTGGGACTCGTCAGCGTGGTGGGTTCGACCTTGAAGGAGACTCATAGCATGGATCAGTGGAATGGAATCCCACAATTAGGCATTTTCGGAACCAGAACGCCCAGATGGACTTGAGGCTGAAGAAAAAAATCTGTCTGCCTGAAGAAAAAACAAAAATCAAGTTTATCTGAATCAGACTCCTGACGGACTCAGAGACGGGCTGACTATCAAAGTTCTCCTAGGACATGAGTACCCAAGGACAAAAGCTTCATCTATCGCACCCCCCCTCCCCCCCGAGAACTTTCTGTGCAAGCTTATCAGAACTGCTGGCTGGAACAACATCTTCAGAAACTGTGGCTGATCTGAAAAAACGCTCATGGACAAATCTCAACACCTCGATGTCAAATGCAAATGTAATCATGTTTTAATTGTGCTGCTGGTAGAGTTTTTTGATGTCTCAAATCGTGTCCTGATAGACAAGATGTGAAAGATCTTTTTTGTAATACCACTATATACCCTCATGTTTCTCCCCCTTTTCCTATCTAAGATTATTATCTGATAAGAATAAGAAGGCCGCGCTCTCCTGTAGTTGCAGCTTCGTGCACTCCGCCCATCTTTCGGACGACTGTACGTACATATTTGCAGTGTACCTCGGTGCAATTCCAATAAAGTTTATTCTGATTCTGATTCCTCATCATGCTCCTTTGTATTGAAATCCTGGCCCAACAATTTCCTGTGGGACCAATAAAGCTCTTTTCTCATCTTATCAAAGTTTTTTTTTCCACTTTAGTCTCTAAATGATATTTAAGCTTGTGGTTTCAGCAACAAAAGTAAACCTTGTGATACTGAGATAAACAAAGAGCCAGTATGTGTTCAACACCAGATTCTGTTTCATAATTGCATGTGTTCTCTACAAATAAACAGGTCATTCACAACATACACACATTAAACATTAACAGGCAGTCATGAATCAATGTAAAATCAGTGCAGAGAATCTCGTCAACAGGAGTTTTGGAGACGTAGTAACAAGGAATCAAGATGGAGATTCAAATTATAATCCTTAAACACGTTGACCTGTGTACCACAAGCATACAGCTTTAATGTTGATTTATGTAAAGAAATATTTTTCAGTCCATGTCTTCTGGAAGTGATCGACTTTTCTTTTTCTGGGGTGAGCTGACATTTTAAGGGCTAGG